ACATGCTGAATAATATTTATTAAAAAAATTACAAATTTTATTAAAAAGTTTCGAAACTATTCGCATTTTTTAAAAATGTTTTAAATTATTTTACATCGAAATATTTATAAATTTTAATTGAGCTATCTTAACAAATATTAATCCAATTTTGATGATTTAACTACTATTATGACCGGAAAAACATACTGAATAATATTTATTAAAAAAATTGCAAATTTTATTAAAAAGTTTTGAAACTATTCACATTATTTAAAAATGTTTTAAATTATTTTTACATCAAAATACAGTATTTGATATATTATATATAAATTTTAATTAAGCTATCTTAACGAATATTGGTCCAATTTTGATGATTTAACTACCATTATAACTGAAAAAACATGCTGAATAATATTTATTAAAAAAAATTACAAATTTTATTAAAAAGTTTTGAAACTATTTGCATTTTTTAAAAATAGTTTAAATTATTGAATAAATGTATACATAGCACCCTGTAATATTACAATTTATCGCATCTTTATTAATAAAATAATATGCGATACACGTTAATGTATCGCATTCATACACTAACTACAAACAATACAGAACACGTGACCGCGGCGGCATAAAATTTTTATCACCACCGATGAATACTACAAACTATACGGATCATGTGACCGCGACAGCAAATCGCCGCTGATGAATTACATCATTATGCAATGTGTCTTTTTATCACATGCCAAACAATTATAAAGAATATGAAATCCGAATTTGAGTTGCTTATATTTGATTTTCTTACATCTTCGTGCCTGATTTTTTCATCGCCTTCGCATTTGATTTTCTTGCCGCCTTCACGTCTAACTTTCTCGTTACATTTACATTCAATCTCTTGTCACCTTCATGTCCGATTTTATTGCCATTTTCAATTTGATTTTATTGTCACTTTCAATTTGATTTTCTTGTCGATATTTCATCCAATTTTTTTTATTTTATTTTATTTTTTTTTTTTGTTGGCTCTATATACGATTTTCGTCATTAAATATGGAACCATATTGATATGAAATGAATACTGCTAATTTCTCAAATAATCATTCAGAAAGTATGATGGATATGAAACGATACATTTTTTTTGATGATGCTGAATGTTCTATGACAACAAATGTTAACAATGCCTCCAGTTCATTTTATGGACAGAATGATGAAATTCAGAAGTATAATGAAAATAGAGACAAGATGAAAACCTCAAATATGAACAAACTTGAAGTGTCAACCATGAACGAATCTAATTATTCGAATAATCAAGATAAAGATGAATTGATTGACCAGTTTAATGTTAACCTTGAAGAATGAGATAATGAAGTTGAGATAATTTCAGAAAATATTCCTATGGACGTTCCATTTGATTCTTGGGGAGATGTTGAAACTTTTTTTGTAGAGTATAGTAGACGAAATGGATTCACTGTAATCAAATATCGTGTAGAAAAAAATAAAGTGGAGATTATTCATAAGCGAATTTTCATTTGTAAGTTTGAAGGGAAATATAGACCTAATAAGAATCAGGTTGCTGCGCATAAGGGCAAACAAAAAAATACAAAGACAAAGAAGGTTAACTGTCCATGGCATGTGAATCTCTCTTATGGAGAAGCAGGAACTTCTATATCAATCACTACCTTTGTCAACAAGCATAATCACAATATACATATTGAAACACAAGAATTTGGAGTTAAATATCGTACTTTTACAGAGGATGCGCTAAAAGAAGTAGAAATTATGACGAAACACAGAAACTTAACTATTATATCGCAGCTTAATCTTTTAAAAGGACGTTTTCCTGATTTGCATTTCCTTGATAGTGACCTTGCCAATAGTATTCAAAAATTTAAAAGAGATAAGTATGAAACGAAAGATGCATCAAACCTGCTCAATACCTTATTAACTAATAAGATGGAAGATCCTAAGTAGGCCGTAGAATTCAAACTAGACGAAGATAACAGGCTTACACAGTTGTTCTGGATGTCCCCTAAACAGATCGACTTATGGTTAAAATATTATGATGTTGTCATCAGTGATAACACTGCAAAAACTAATCAATATCAAATGCCCTTAGAGTTATTTGTAGTCATTGACAATAACAGAAAAACACGGCTTGTCTCTCAGGTTTTAGTAAGCAATGAAACCCTGGATACTTATAGCTGGACTCTCACCTGCATAAAAAATGCTACAAAAGTAGAGCCTTTAGTAATGTTTTCTGATGCAGATCCAGCACTTGATGCTGCGGTCCGTATTACGTTTCCTAAAACCTACGTTGCACATTGTATCTTCCATATTGAACAAAATTTGCCCAAGAATTTGAAAGCTAAGATAGGTAGCAAATGGGAAGATTTTATGAAAACCTTTTATCAGTGCCATAACAGCCTTTGTGAACCACTTTTCTATAAACATTGGGATGATATTCTTAACAAATACCCAATGGCAAAAGACTATTTGCTACGTACATTGTATCCATATAGTAGGTTATAGGCACATGCTTATCTTTCTAAAATTTTCACTGCCGGAATTGAAAGTACAGCTCGGGTTGAAGGTTATAATTGGGTAATTAAAAAGGAACTAAAGGCAAATAGCACATTGATTGAACTTGCACGTCGTCTTGAAAAATGCTTAGAAACAGAAGCACAATGGAATAGATATAATCAGTATAAAAATTCTATGATGTTTGCAACTGTGCCTGCTGTTGGGCATGATCTTTTCCCAACAGTAATCAAAACTATTGATAAATATCTTACGGAAGTAATTAGTAATACAATTAAATCTGAAATGGCCCAATGTTTGTTTCTCACAGCAAATAGGATTGAACCAACGTCTGATGAGCTTAATTCTGAGCAGGAAAGTATTGAAGAAGTATCAAATAGATTTATTGAAGATAATTATGATGCATGTAAAATTACTCTTCAGTCCATAATAGATGAAGTCGGAAGTGAAAATATACAAGAAATCTGGAAAATTTCTGATATTCGCAGTGAAAAAAAGCATCACATATATTTTATAGCTATTGTAAACCCGGTATCTTTCTTGTGTTCATGTTTCATGTCAATTTCAAGAGGACTTATCTGTCGTCATTATTTTCGTATCATGATGCATTCCAAGGTTGCGGCTTTCCACATATCAATGATCCTTCCACAATGGTATCAAGACCCCTATCAAGAAAACATAGAATACAAGAATGAGAAAATTATATTCATTCATGGAAAAGAAATTACTAATGAAGGATGTAGTGGCGAAGAGATGTTAGTTCAAAGGCTATCTATAGTTCTAGCTATGACCCCAGTTGTAAAAAAAGCTCTACAAAAATGAAATAAATATGGTAAAATTTGGGGATTGGCTCGTGAGGCAACATTACTAGCAGTAGATGATGATAATAGTGAAATTGTTGATATTCTTCAAAGCTACATCCAAAGAAAAAAAAATGAAAAGAATACAAATATTAGCAATACTCAAAGCAATAATAAGGAAAAACCATCTTCACGATCAAATGAAATAGATATCAATATGAATGAAGACCAGACCGGATCAGAAGAAACAAGTGACAGTTATTCTGACGATGAAATACCTGACGGCCAAGATATCGGTATACAAGTTCCTCGGAATGTTCAAAATCCAAGTTGTGTCAAAGGAAAGGGAAGACTACCAAAGAGTCGCTTTAAAAGTAGTGTAAAAGAACAAAGTCGGAAAGGAACTTCTAGAGGCGTATATAAATGTAAACAGTGTAGTGAAGTGGGTTATAATTTGGCTTATTACAAGTAAAAGAGAAGTAATTGAAAGGAGGGAATATCGATATGATGTAATCATATATAGATGTCTAATTTATCTGATATGGATATAATGTATGTTGCGTATTCAATGTTCTATACAAAACTGAAATGTGGCTATTGTTACACGTTAATATCTTCTAATAAAAGTTTGTGACGACTATAGTCTCTAAAAATAGAGTTGTTTAAGATCAGTAACGCTAGAATGCATTTACAGTATATGCGTATTTGCGTTAGGTTAAATTTAGAAGTGAAATTTATTGATACTGGTTTTATTCTTGCGCGTAGAAGGGTCTC